AATCACCCACAAAAAAACCATCAACGAGTCACCCACATCAAACAAGACAAATAACAAACACATACAATAGGAAACACAACCAGGCACCACCACTATCACCAATCATCCCCAATCACCACAACCGTCACCGATCACAGCCATTCCTAACATCCCAAAATTAAAACCCACACAGCCCAGTACTGTCTCCCACTATTCCCACATTTATTGGAACTACCAAGCAGACCTTTCCAGAGGCCCAATATCACCTTCTGCTGGAATAGAAACAATGCATAAATCACCGTCTTCATTCTCACCGGCTGTTTTCCCATCTCACACACGCTTTCTAGAATGCAATAGACCGGATTGTCGCTGCGCGGGCGCTGTTAGTGCAACAGAGCCGATATTTGCTAGGCTACGCCACGACGATTTACGTCTGATTTTTGAATAAAAAAAATTATCACTTGATTTTTGAATAAAAAATTTTCAAAAACTAAATTATAACCTGATTTTTTAATTAAAAAAAATTGAACTTGATTTTTGGATTGAAAAGTTAAAAACCATGTGTAGGTGTAATTTCCATTAAAAATAAAATGAACTTAAAGCTATGCACAGGTTTAGCACAAGATTAATGATGTTAGGAGAAAGAAAAATGACTAAAACTTTATAGATATGCTAAAAAGAGGAAATAAATGAACCACTATTTTTATATAACCAAAAAGAAGTCTCACATTGTATTTTGTATTGATTTTTTTTTTTCTTTAGATTATTGTAGATATAGAAAATGTTTCGAACTCTACTGAAAATTAATACAAAAAACTCTTCCGTGTGACTAACTTTTAGGAGTTCTTAATACAATCTAATCTTAGAAACAATTAAAACACGAAGGGGGAAAAATTACAAATAATTAAACAATATAGTTCTCAACAACAGCGACTGTGACAAGCAATTCATACATTCAATCATTTGACAGACAACACTTGACGTGGTATCATTGGAAGATTGGAAAAAAAGGAAAGATCAATCATGTTCGGCCACATCAACATCGGTATCAATTCTGTTAAAATTTTCCAGTACTTGGAGTTTTATTATCCTAAGTATATGTCAATAGTAGAATCCCGTATTGTGATGTGAGGTACATTTTTCTACAAAATTTTTAAAAAACAATTTTTTTGTTTACGTCGCTTGATTTTAACATGGTACCATATAAAACTTTCATCCATTAAATTCTTCAAAAAACTAAACTTTTACGCTTCTTGAAGTTTGATAGTATCAAGAAATTAATTGTGCATATATATTATAGTAACATGTTTGTCCGCCAAATCGTTGCTCCAACTTCATTGACATGCTCGAAATTAATTAAGGACAATGAACTCTCTGTTTCTCAATACTTATTGTGGCAATTTAAATCTCTATTACTTGATTGTAGCTACAACTTAATTTACTCGCTCGGATTTATGAACGACGACAAAATTCATATTCTAGGAAGATTATTGCAATATTCACTGTTTCTAATTAATTATTGAGGATTAAAATCTCAAGTAAACGTTTATTGGTCAAACCGAAGCTTCAATTTTAATGACTTGTTCAAACAGAAGGACAAAGTTGAAAACTATAATCTAGGGAAGATTACAATAATACTTGCTATATGTCAATACTTACTGGGAATTGTCAATTACATGTTTGATAGTGCAATCGTTGCTTCAATTTTAGTGACTTGCTCGAATATAAGGACAACGATGAAAATTGTAAAATAGTAAAGATGTCGTGGTAATATTCACTATATCTCAATACTTATTTAGGCAATTAATGTCTCAATAATGTTGGAATATAAGGACAACAACAAATTAAATGGGGAAGCTAACAGTAATATTCATTATACTTCAGTACTTCGTGAGGCAATAAAAATCCCCATTACCTGTTTGTTCGTCAAATCGTAGCTTCAATTTCAGTGACTTGTTCGAATATAAGGACACGACAAAATTCATAATCTAGGGAAGATTGCAGTAATATTCACTGTATCTCAATACTCATCAAAGCAACTATAATCTCAATTACATATTTGTTCGTGAAAACCGTAGGTTCAATTTCAGTGACTTGCTCGAATATAAAGACTATAAAAAATACCATAATTTCACTCTTTTGTAGAGTTCAAAGGTTACGGTAATAGAGGTTGTATATTTCACTCTTTTGTAGAGTTAAAAAATAAAGATGAAATTAAAATCATCATACGAGTTCAGCACAATAGGAACGATGAATAAACATAATTTTTTCATGTGAAATTTATATCTAGATATTTTTATTGGGTCATGCTATGAGAATTACGTGTATCTCTCATCTCCTTTTAGAGTTAAGAATAGAGACGAAATTAAAACCATGCACGTGTTTAGCACATGATGAATGAAGAATTATCATATGGTCTTTGTAAGTAGGATTTTTTTCCTAATGTTGGATCATGCTATAGGAATTGGTTATATATTTAATCTCTTTTGTAGAGTTAAAAATAAAGACGAACTTAAAACCATGCACGGGTTTAGCACAAGAGGAACGGTGTTAGGAAGATCACATATTTGCTATTTCTCAATACAAAATTCTCGATTACATATATATCGTTTAGATTACAACCATCTTACTCGGGAAAAACCATAATCTAAGGAAGATTAAGGTAATATTCACTATACCTCAAAATTCTCGATTGCGTGTATTTCATTAATATTACAACCATCTTGAAAAAGATTAATAAGATAGTTTAAACAATCAATTTTTAATATAATTTTAAGTACTTATATTTCTAATAGCATAAATCATATTATTTTATTCAGTTAGAAGAGTATATTTTGCCCAAAAAAAAAAAAGAGTTAGAATAAAGATTA